GCCCGCCGGGCCCGGCCCCGACCTCCGAGCCGGCGGCCAGGGCTGTGTTTTTTAAATTGAGCTAAATGCATATTTGATGCCATTAAAGGGCTCCCCCTTTTTAGGTGCTGTATTAAGGGTCATTTTGCTTTTTAAGGCATCGTGTTGCGCACGGGGGCTCGTGTGTCGTGCAGGTCAGCGCGAGAGCCCAGGCCCGGGGGAGGGGTTCGGGGAGACGAGGCCCAGGCTTCCAGGGGGGGCGCCCGGCGAGCCAGGGGAGACGGGGTGACGCTGCCACCGCCCTGCGGGCCCCGAGGGCTTGGCTTTTGCTCCCACCGAATGGCACGGGAAGCTCTGGGAGGGTTTCAGCAGAAGAGCGGCAAGACCCTGGCCGTTGGCTGAAGCTGTTGCATCACCTCAGTCCCCTGCCCTCGGTCCCAGAAACCAGCGCCACACGCGGGGACAACACAGGGTGACAGTACCAGGAGGCGGGCTTGTCAACGGGGCCACCCGGAGGCGCCAGGCACCGGGCACAGGACAGGGTCTGAACCCGCCGGACACTTGGTGGGCAAGGAATGGGTTAGCGGGTGGGTGACTCGGTTTAGGCCCCTTAGGTGGGGTGACGGACGAGTCTCAATGCCTACGGTAACAACTAAGGACGGCAGGCGATGCTCTCTGAGCTGTGTCCGCCTGGATGTCCTGCGGACACATCATGATGGGGTTCGAAGCAATAACGGGGACAGCCCTGCGTTTGGTGTCACCCAGGGCGGCTCACATTTCACGATGGTAACTGCGCCTCTCTTGTCCCCTCAGCCTCCCTGTGGTCCACTCCTCGGAGGTCCCGTTCGCACAGCGCTCCACTTCCACAACGGTAACGTCGGTTTGCATGACTCTCCTCCCGCTCGTAGGACTGTCTTTCTGACGTCAAAACTTCACACTTTTGGGTTTTCAGAAATAGTTCTGTTTTAACTCTTTTGACAGTAATTCTCTCAGACCCTTGACATACATAGAGTGGAGATAGAACTTCAAGAATCCAAAGGGCGAGGTGTTCCCAGTTCCTGCGTAGCTGGAGTTATCAAGGGGAAGTCGTGGCTCCTAAACGGAGGGTTTCCAACCAGGAAGGAGGTTGTGTCACAGGCAGGTTGGGTCAAGATCTCTAGGAGGAACCAGTGAGCTTTGAAAGATAATATTCAGTGTTAAAATCTCATACTTAAGGAAGAAACTTCACTGTAAACTACATAAGGTGGATTTGACAAAGTCACACTGGATGGTGGACGTACACAGAAGAGCAGGACAGGGTGGCAGTTACGCGTGGAGAGGCCCCGGCCCTGCCCTGCCCTGTGCTCAGGACCTCAGGCAGCTCCCGAGCAAGGCCGCCCATCCGAGCCGTGCCACCTCTTCTGCAAGCGGGACGAGCGTGTCTAGCTCCGTGGAGTTTTGTGAGGATAAGTAAATGTCTGCATTTAAAGTGTGGACAGTCCCTGGTGTACACAGAGCCCTCATTCAGCGCCACCACCTCCACACCAGTCTCAGCAGCAGGGAGGTCCAGGGGTTTCTGTTTCTCAAAAGGGAAAGTTGAAAAACTGAGTCAGGATCTAAAGGAATCGTAAGTGGGCCTTTTCATTAATTTGGCTTATTTTTTTCCCCTTTCCTCTGTGAAAGGCGACTGCTGCCCCAGCGGGTTCCAGTTTCCCGTCTTTGTTCCTTTCACGGGCTCAGCTGAGTCCTGCCAGAGCCCATGTTTCTAGGGCTCTGAGGTTAGCACGTTGGGAAAGCTCAGGTTAACTTTTTGGCCAGTTGACTCCAACATGGGAAGTGTCACTCATTTCACAGGTTTGTGTTGAGCCCATGCTGGTGAGAAAGACAGAAAAGTTCACTTTCTGGTAGCAAACAGCAACAGAAGCTTAAAAACAGTTCTGAGAACTTCCATCTAGGTGTACAGACCTGCCTTCCTTTTATTTTTCTAATCCTCACCTGAGGATATGCTTATTGATTTTAGAGAGAAAAGAAGGGGGAGAGAGAGAGAAACATCGATGGGTTGCCTCCCATACGCACCCGACCAGGTATCGATTATGCAACCTTTCAATGTAAAAGACAACGTTCCAACCAACTGAGCCACACTGGCCAGGGCCAGACCTCCCCTTTTTTATAGACTGCAGAAATTTTAGGCAGCAATAGGTCAGGAATTTAGGGAGACCCCTCCTTTTGAGACCAGGCTTCCCTTCTTTGCCCTCCACCTTCAACCACCCCACTCTCTATAGCAGACTGAGCTCGGGGAGAGTTTCTGGAATGAAGAAAACAGCCACACCGAGTGTAGTGCCACTGGGCAGGGAGGGGCAGACAGGTGACCGAAGCACAGGACAGAGTGTGGCAGTGGTCTGCAGCTCCAGGGCCCTGAGCTGACCACATCCCCCCTCTGCTGGGTACAGCTGGGCACATGGTCCCCTCTGACCCCCCACAGCCCTTGGAGGCAGGTGCTTTATTCCTGTTTTCTCAGTTAAGGAAGCCGGGCCTAGAGTCGGTAACGCTTACCAAGGTCACGTACTCTGCAGTGGAGCTGGGGTGCAGACCCAGGGTCCACAGGGTTATTCCGGGGAGGGCCCTTCTGGAGTGGAAAGCTCACAGTTTCTCTCTGGACTATTGAACGCTTAGCCATTGTTCCTGGAAATGCATGGCAATTCTGAGAGGATATGTGGGGGCCTGTCCTCAGATTTACACCAAAGGGTTGGGTCCCTACCAAAGAGCCAGTGCCGCTGTGGTCCCAAGTCACATGACACCCTCAGCAGGTGTCCCTGAGAATGTGGGCTTACATCTCCCTCTGACTTCCGGGGCAGCTGCCCTGGCAGTGAGCATCCGAAAGGGGACCCGGTGACGTGGCTGGGTGACGTGGCAGACCCTGTCCTTCCTGGCGTTTCCACACAGCAATGTCTCATGATTTTGAACTGCCTTTTCACATGTGTGACATGCATGTGTCAAATGTTTTTACAGATACGTTCCTAAAACATCCCTGAGTTCACCACCATGGCCTGAAGTTGTTCTGCCAGACCCAGCCGAAGAGACCAAACACCATGCAGGTAAGAGGCAGAGCCAGGGTGCCAACCACCCTCCACACACCACCTGGCCGCCGAGCGAGGGGGTCACGTTTCTCCTGCTCCAAGACCTGGTACAGCAAATGCTCTGCTTCATTCTGCCCCTTAGCAGCAGGCTCGAGAGCCACATTAATTCAGCAGAGACCCCTGAGCACCTGTGACCCTGGTGGAGAGAGCCAAGGCCCCGCCACCTGCTGTTACCCTGCCCTATAGCCACTCCTCCAGGAGCCCCACGTCACACAGCTGCGGGAGAGCAGGAGGGGGAGGCGTGGTTTTATGTACTAAAGTCCCAGGCCCCAGTGTGGAGGTGTAGCTGGTGCCTTTCCATCGTGGGTAATGGCTGGCCCTGTGCCACTCTCCGGCCTTCCTCCCCGCAGAGGTCGTGGGGAAGGTGAACGAGCTGATCGCCACCGGCCAGTACGGCAGGCTCTTTGCCGTGGTGCACTTTGCCAGCCACCAGTGGAAGGTGACCGCTGAAGACCTGATTTTAATCGAGAATGAACTAGACCTTGCGTGTGGAGAGAGGATCCGGTTGGAGAAGGTGAGACTGTCAGTTTCTTTGCATTCAGGGACTTGGCCCCAAATGTTTGACCCCTGCTCCTGGGCCATCCCCGGAGAGCTTTCCTCAAATCAAAGGTGACCACAAGCAAGACCAAGGGACAGGAGTGTGAGTGACAAAGCGGGCTGGCCAGGCAGGCACAGGCAGGGCCAAGGGAAAGGCCGGCAGAGCTGAGAGGGGCTGGCAGAGCTGGCCGCCACCTCCGAGGGCGGCCGACTCAGGAGGCTCACCCCTCACCGGAGACAGGCAGCGTGTCTGTTGATCTTCTCACGTCGTTAGCGAATTCCCACAGGAAATGCTCCGTCGCAGGTGAGATAAAGGTCCCAGTTGAGGATATAGAGTTTGAAGCCCATATTTTTAGGGGAAAAATGTTAAGTTTCCGCTGGAACACTGACGTTTGATTGGCCGGCTGCTCTGTTTTGAAGCAGCGAGGCCCGGTTCCGAGGTCCTTCCCTGGGCACTGGCTCTTTCTTACATTGGGAACTGCGAGCTCTGTCTGTTTAGCTGAGCGTTGCTACCCTTCTGTTATGGTTCTGTTTGCTGTTTTCAGAGTCTATTTGGTTTTTGCCTACTCTGCTCCTACTTATAAAACTATATACAAAATATAAGCTCTCTGTACTAGGTCGCTTTTCTAGGATATGTATTACTGTCAATATAATGTAACGTGACACATACAATTTTCCCTATTAATGAAAACTCCTCCGTCCTTTGTGAGTGTAGGGTTTTGGCACGTTTGCTCTCACTGAGACGGTCTCGGGGCCTGCGGCCTGAGCCGCCTCCTTAGCTCGGAGCTGGGCGGCAGCAGCGCAAGCTCTCTTCTGAACGGCGGGCGCTGGCAGGTCTGTCGTGAGCCCATGAACAAGAGCACGTGGGCTTCGGGAGCCTGAGTCACTACGGCTTCGGGAGTGCGTTTGTGAAGGTTTCAGAAAAGGTGTTATTTGGAAACGTTTCACGTTAACATGATGGGAAGCGCCGTCTAACGCAGGTGGTTCTTTATAACGTGGGAAACCCAGGCGTCGGGAGCAGGTGCTGAAAGTGAGCCTAAGACAACTTGTCATTTGTCGTCATCTGATGTGCGCAGGCCACCGGTGGTGTTACGGATGCGCTTGTCTTTAGACATCTACATTTAGTGCGATTGGATTTTTTTCTTACCAGTAAAACTCAAGACAGTCTTCCAGCATCTACAAAAACAGCACTGTGCTTGGACTGCGAGGGTGTTTTCATCTGTGGCCACATTTGGTGGCAGTTTCGCTGCACTGAGGACGTGGTGGCAGCAGCTGGGGTTCTGCTGGTGTCAGATACACCTGAGCCGCAGTCTCGTGTCCTGCGACCGGCTTCCAGGGCACCGCTGTCCGACGTGTGTGTTTCTCCCTGTGTCCGTCAGACATCACTGAGGATGGTTTTTTTGTGTTTGTTGTTGTTAATTATTAAAAAGCTGCCATTTTCGTAGGAGTTTGACACTTAACATGATAGGTGATCCCCACATCAAACAATCTTACCGCCTGCGTCTGACGGTCCAGGCATTTCTGAGAGGTACCACTCATGGCCAGGGCTGGGTAAGGTTTGTTTGAAGCAATAATTGAGGTAGTGGATCCCGTCCATAGCAGGATCTCTGACTGGTCCCTTTCTCATTTCCCAGTGCACCCGAGTCACCACCTGTCCTGAGTGACTGTGTCACTTACAGGCAACACCCTGTTTCCCTCTCAGGTCCTGCTGGTTGGTGCTGATGACTTCACACTGCTGGGCAGGCCTCTCCTGGGGTAACGTGCGCTCAGATGCGGGGCTTTGTCCAGGGCTGGGCGGTGAAGCCGGGCAGGGGACGGGGGGTGGGCATCCATCACTCGATCCAACGCCAAACACAAGAGGCGTATACTCCGTGATGGTGGATGCTCCGGGTCCCCGTGGGAGGACACCCAGACCAGGCCAGCGGTCTGTTACTCACTCGCCCCCACATGGCCCTTGAAGACCTGCAGGCAGGCTGCATTGTCTTCATCATGCGCTTTGTAGCTTTCAGACTGTCTACAGGGAGGCATGTGTCCCTTTTAAAATCAGCAAAAAAGAAAAACTCATTTTTTAGAATCTTGTGAAAAACATGAGCAGCATTGAAAGCAAATGGAGAAAGCACGTCACTATTTACTTTCCCTCTCCTAGGAAGGATCTTGTCCGCGTAGAGGCCACAGTCATTGAAAAGACAGAATCGTGGCCAAAAATCAACATGAAGTTTAAGAAAAGGAAAAACTACAGGAAGAAGAGAAGTGAGTAACGGGGCGGAGCTGGCGCCCTGTGGCCACCCCCCGTGTCCCTGCCCTGCTCGGCACCACCCACTGGGCCTGACCAGGAGGGCCAGGCCAGACTCCTGACCACACCAGGGGCTGAGACTCAGACGGGGCCTCCACTGGAGTCACAGTCCCCATGAGGCAGGTGCTCCCCCCACACCAGGGACTGAGACTCAGACGGGGCCTCCACCGGAGTCACAGTCCCCATGAGGCAGGTGCTCCCCCAGGCTGGGACCCTGCAAGCTATGGGATCCTGTCTCGGGAAATGTGTGTCACTCACAGCCCTTAGTCACAGCGGGAACTGCTGCCTGGCCTGCCAGTAGTAGGGAGTCCTTCCAGTACACCTGAGAAAACAGCCTTGGCTTTACCTGGCCTTGGGTCAGGAAGCCTCAAGGTCAGCCAGATGGGGCCGTGCACCCCCCTACAGTCCCGGGGTCTCCGAGCACGGTGGGGGAAAGGCTGGGGGCTTCGACGAGGGCTCTCCTGGCCCCCAGGCTGGTTCGAGGCAGAGTCCCTCATGGAAAGAGTGGGTGCCAGGGGGCGGGGTCTCTCAGGTGGCTGATTAACAAGGTTGGAGGTGGTGGTCTGGCAGTGACTGAGCTCTCTCTCTCTTCCAGTCATTGTGAGCCCGCAGACTGTCCTGCGGATAAACACCATTGAGATTGCTCCATGTTTGAGCTGATCGTCGAACTGACATTTGCAGAAATATAAAAATAAACTTTTCCAGGGAGCCTGAGTTTCTGTTCTGATGCCAGAATTGTACCGGTTCTGGTTCTGGCTCGAGCGCCGGGTCGCTGGGCAGCAGCCTCCCCACGCCAGGGGCCAGAAGTTGGGGAGAATCCGTAGCCTGGCCCTCCCCCAGCAGACCTGGGTGCTGCGTGAGACAAAGACTGGCGTTCTTGGCCACCCTCCACCCCCCACTGCTGGCAGCAGGCCAAAGGGACCCTTTAGGAGATGCATCCGGGACCTGGGAGCTGACACCAAGGAACAATCTAGATTCCACTTCTGGGCAAGATAGACAAAGACGAGCAGATCCCACCTCTGAGTGGGTCTGTGTGCCTGTTGGTAGTGATTTGCTTTTTAAAAGCTGGGGTGAAACCAGGAGACTGGGTGTAGAAGGAAGGGGAGGTCACAGTACGGGGGTAGTGCCCTGACCACCAGAGGAGGGACCTCGTTGGGCCTTGAGAGCCAGTTGCTGAGCAGTAGCAGAGACAGCAGGGGGCCAAGGAGGTTTGAACTTGGTCCTGAAAGCAGCCACCTGTCCTGGAAGGGTTTGGGACGGTCAGGCAGGCAGCTAACCCAGGAAAGAAGGGACAGGTCCTGAACCCAGCGTGGCCCAAGGGATGGAGGCGTGGACTTTGGGGAGCGGGTGTGGGGAGGGAGGGACTCTCAGACACCCAGGCCCTGGCTCTGTGCCTCCCTCCAGGACAACAGGGCTTTCGAGTGACACAAACACAAACGACAATAAATACCTTCTTGGCAAGATTCCTTCAAGCGTCCCTTGGGGGGTCATCCCTGTGATGTGGAAATCAGAAAATGAAGACAGCACTGACCCAGGAGGCCTCTCCCCCTTCCCTCCTGCTCCCCCGATGCTGGCCCAGGCCTTGGGGATGCTCCCCGGCAGTGCCCTCCGTGGACAGCAGGGGGCGCTCAGTCCTGCAGGAGGAGACCCCAGTTGTTCCCCTGCTGTGGTTGCTGGGCTGGAAGGGTGGTGGGCCCCAACCTCAGAGGTGGGGTGCCCTCTGGTGCCGCCACATGGGAGTTTGTGCCCTAGCTCCTGCGGACACCTGAGAGCAACGTGTCTGCAGTCCCACCCAGCCAGGCCTTCTCTCTGGCTCTCCCTTTGCCAGCCAGACACCGGGTCCTGCGATTGTCCCCGTGCAGGCTGCAAACATTTGAGACAGGACTTACCTGAAAAGTGCCACGGTCGGCCGCCCAGCTCATCAGGGGTCCTGGAGCCACGCAGGCCAGCAAGCATGTGTGATCTTGGCTACGTGACCAAGCACTAGGCCTTGACTTCTCACCCGTCCGAGGGGGTGAAGCGAGCTCGGCCAGTGGTCACCTGTTACCCAGGAGAGCGCAGCCTGTGCCCCGGGGCCTGGCGACGCGCCTACAAAACATTAACACCGGTGCTGGGCTGGCGGGCGCTCACTCCTTTTCAAACTAGACCAGGTACCCTCACAAAAAGGGAGAAATGACACCCCTGTCCGGGTGAAAGTGAACACCCTGCAGCATCGACGGCCCTTGGAAACAGGCCGAGTGAAAGAACCCGCCCGGGCGGGTGTGGCCCAGGGGCTGAGCGTGGTGCCAGGCATCAGGAGGTCACCGGTTCCATCCCCGTCAGGGCACATGCCAGGGCTGTGGGCCCCGTCCCCAGTGGGGGGCGTGCAGGAGGCAGCCGATCGATGTTTCTCATCGATGTTTCGGTCTCTCCCTCTCCCTCTCCCTCTCCCTTTCTCTCTAAAAATCAATATAGACATTTTTTTAAAAGAAAAAAAAGCCATACACAAAATTATAAATATTGTACGATTCTACTCACATAAACTATCTCGAATAGGCAAACTCAGAGTAGATGGAGGTTCCCAGGGGCACAGGTTCAGGGTTTCGGTTCTAGGTCCCGGGAAAGCCACACATAGGGGCGATGGTGTCACCACAGTCACGTCACTGAATTGTCACAAAAGGTTAAAAAGGTAGGTTTATGGCCTGTATATTTTACCCCAAATTTAAAAACAAATAGGAAACCTGGTTAACAACATCGCTTTCGGTTGGGGGGGAGCCGAACAGATCCCCATCGGTACCTTAGCAAAGTGTGAATGTTCCCTGCAGGCCCGACGCAGCTGTTCTGGGCAGGTGTCCCGGACACGCCAAGCGTCACCTCAGGGTTGGGAGGGCTCTCTGCCCGTGCCAGCACACGCTGTCCTGCTGCCCGCTGGGCTCGCCCAGGCCAGCTTTCTCCCCTTTTCCACAGAAACACTTCGCTGCTCGGTCAGCACCGTGAGCTGCCCCAGGGTCTCCAGGCACCTGCCCGCCTCACCTCCCATGAGCCCAGTCGCCCCCCGCTCCCACCGGCACCCACCTTGGCCTCGCCCAGCTCCTGACGGTGCTGTGCAGCCTTCACCCCAGCTTCTCCCCTGGGCTGAGAGCATGGATTCACCCTCCCCAGGCCACAAGTGGCCCAAGGCCCAGGCTGTGCCACCCAAAGCCTCCCAGGAAGCCCAGCATGTGCGAGAGCCATGGGGGTGGGCATGGAAGGAGCGCATGAAAGGGGACAGTGGGACCCGGACGGCCCAGGGATTAGGCATAAGGGTCTTGGGTCAGACTGTCACCTCCATCACTCACCGGTGTGCCTGGCTGCTATGAATACGTGTCACTAGCTCAGAGTGGACCGCCCAGGCCACCCCATCTCAGGAGGCCCCTCCCTGGTCACCGTCTCAGCTCCCTGTCTCCTGGTGTCAACAGTCGAGTGTCTCGCCTGCCTCCCCCGCCGGACCGCCAGCCCCAGGAGGGGACGTGTGTCTGTTTTATCCGCTAACGTGCACACAGCCACCATCCACCGCCACCCTGGCCCCGTCAGGCAGGCAGGCAGCGCTCCAAACGTCTCCGTGGGAATCCCGATTCCACACTGCGGGGGACAGCAGTGGGTCCCCGGGAAGGGCTAGCGTGGCTAGTTCCGTGCAGACAGACCTCTGCGGCGTCCCGGGAGGAGGGGTCAGGAGCCTGCCCAGGGGTTTGTGGAAGACCGGGAGTCACTCGTGCCTGCTGGAACCACAGGAGAACAGCTCTGAAAGCATTAGATCAAGCGTGTCCCAGGGGATGTCTGCAGATCCCCTGGTCCAGCAGGTGGAGCCATCGGCCCGCAGGCAGCGCGTGGGGCTCCTGCCAGCACCTTCCAGCATCCTCACACCCACCCGGGCCCAGGCTCCCGGGCCACTTCCTGGGTGGGGCTCGGCCAGCAGGTAAGCGGCAATGGCACACCTGCCGGCCGCGCGCCCTTCGGCCCACTTTCTGCGCAGGTGACTCAGCAGAGACGGGGACAGGCAGAGCCCAGGCTGCCTGACCTGAAAGACACCGGTCCGGTTTTCTTCTTTCCTTCCTCCTGCTGACGGCCATCAGGCGACACAGACGTCGCCCTCGGGAACCCGGCCAACCGTTCCAAGCCTGGGCGTGCGCAGCAGAATCACCAGGGGTGCGTCTGGTCCTACACCCAGGCTCCTAACGGAAGCCCAGGGCTGGCAGAACCCACCCGGCGTCTCCAGGAGCGACCTCTGAGGGGCTCGAAGGCCGCTCGTTTTAACGTACAATTACACTGCGCGGGGGCTGCCTCGGAGCCCGCACGTCAAAGAGGAAATGGGGAAAGAGGGAGACCTGCTGGGTCCGTGCCCGATGCTCCTGGTCCAGGGACAGGAACCAGGCCTGGGAAGGCCCAAGTGCACCCGGGCCGGGACAGTGACAACGGTGACACTTGCTGAGCTGGTGCCATGTGCAGGGGTAGGCCAGGCATGTCACACACACTAACTCATCTAACCCTCACTAGCTTGCCCTGCCGGTTTGCCTCAGTGGTTAGAGCGTCGGTCTGCGGGCTAAAGGGTCCGGGGTTCGATTCTGGCCAAGGGCAGGTTTGATCCCCAGCCCAGTCAGGGCACGTGCAGGAGGCAACCGACCGATGTGTCTCTCTCGCAGCGACGTTTCTCTCTCTCTCCCCCCCACTCGCTCTGGGAAGCAATGGAAAAAAATACCCTCAAGTGAAGATTAAATAAAAGGCAGCCCTACGGAAAGTAACCTCACAGGGCGAGCGGCTCCCAGGTTCCTTCCTGGGCAGGCGTGGGGGGTGCTCCCGCCCAGGCCTGGCCTGTAGCTTCCTCGGTGGAAGGGTAACAGCCCCGCCCTTTGTTCGTGTGCGTCCAGGTTCACACACCTTTGAGAGCCAGAAGGAACACCCTGGAGGGCCCCCCCTCTGAGAGCCCAGAACCTCTGATCCAGGCCCGGCCTTGCTTTCTCCGGTCTTCCTGGGCCCCCTCCTTAGTCTCCAATGTGTAGCTGCAGCGGCAAAACTGTCCTCCAGAGCACTGGAGACCTTGCTGCCGGCATGTCATCGGCTTGGCGCAGACGTTTCTCACGTGGACAGGCCGGGCTGCTCACAGAGAAGCCGTGGCCAGTCCCGGCCCGGCTGCGCCTCAGACGGCCGGGCGCGTGGGTCAGGAGAGGCGCACACTGCTGCTGTAACGGGTGAGCCCCGCTTCTCCGGGCTGTCCGCGCAGGAACGTGTCACTTCTCGCTCACGAGAAACCTGTGCCGGTTGGGCTATGGTTTCAATCCCAGAGCAAGTGGGGTGCTGGGAGGTGCCTCTCCGCTGGGTGCCAGGCAGAGGAGCCAGTGCGCACGTGGGAGCTTTTCAAAGTCCTATGGCCAGACCCCAGCCAGACCCCCAAATCCTGATGCACTGAGTCTGGGGTGGTTCCCTGGGTGATTCTAATACGGGTGGCCCAGGGCTGAGAAGCTCGGGTGCAGCTCCCGTCTGAACCGAGGGGCTTCTCCGGGCTGAAGGTTTTGGGGTTTTTCTGTGTTTTTTATTTTAATTTTATTTTTTATTGACTTTTAGAGAGAGGAAGGGAGAGAAACATCGATTTGTTGTTCCACTTATTTATGTATCATTGGTTGCTTCTTGTATGTGCCCTGACTGTGGATCGAACCCGCAACCTCGGTGCATCGGGACGACTCTCTAACCAACTCAGCTGC